CTCTTCCTGTGTTTAGGGCTAATAACAAGCTCATGACTTAGCCAGATTGGTCTCTTTCTACCTTTTCCATCCTTCCTCTGCATTGGGCCAGCTTGTACTTGTGCGTCAATACCATTTCTTTGAGGAATTGCCAGGTCTCTTTTAACTCCTTTTCCCTATGAACTTGCCTCCCATAAATTCTTAACTAGTGTTTCCCTGAGTTTGTTGGAATCTACCTTCCTGAAGTGTATTGTTTTTATTTTGCCTTCCTCTCTTTTTTCACTGCTCTTCACTGTTGTAACAGATTTTTCTGTGTAAGTAGTTCTGATACTCTAGGGAAGCACTTGATGCTTAAAAGTGCACAAAATCACACCCAACATCCAAGATTTGGCAAAGAACACTCACAATTCTCTTAGAGCACTGCATGATCACTTCAGTTTTGTTTGCTGAGACCATGTCATGGGAAGGCATTTAATACATCTTTTTAGTATTTTTATTTCTGTTTACAAGGTTACAGCCAGTACCATGTGACAAACCAGCTCTCTTTGAGAACTACTGACTTAGAATACAGCAGTTGCTCTATTGGAACAAGTCCTTGGTCCATTCAAAACAAGGTGGGAAAAAAACCCTTATTGATTTAAGAAGCAGTGCACTCATGAAAATTACACAGGATAAAAGTTCAAGAAAGAATTACAGGGAAAGCATAATTGCAGAAAATATTCTAAAGATTTACTTAGTCCTTAAAATGCAAACACTTCATTTTCCAGTCTGATCCAAGTTTTATTGTCAAGAGAAACTTAACATTCCCAGTGACAGCACTTTAGACAGCATTATTAGGATAGGCAGGCCTTCTTTTCTCAGCTTTCAAACTTAATTTAGAATTAGCTTTGGTTATTTTTATAAATGACTTCACTGAAAATCCTTTTCTCCTCAAAGAAGTCTCCTGCATCAAATATTTTGTTTATTTTTAAAACGTTAAGCCATTTTGTCTGTGCTCTTTATAATTTCAGAAAAACTTGTAACTTTGCCTGTCCTTAACTAATCCTTTCTCTCTTTTTATTACGTATTTATCTTTGTTACCTGTAGGTTGGAGAATGAACCTGGTCTTCAATATGCAGTACTTTTCAACACTGAAGTATTGTATAAAAGATGATGCACATACAGTAATGAGCTTTTAAAAGCATATGTCACCAGTTTCATAAGTATTAGGCTTTCTTTATAATTCTTGTAACTCCTTTGCAGTGACAACTTTTCTCAAAGACTCTTTCTGTTATTTAGTATGCAGTGAGAAAGTCTTAGCAGCAACTCTTCAGTGCAGTCCTTAACATTTTGGGGTGGGGAGGGGGAATAACAAGAAGTAATGAAGTAATTAAGAGGATTAAGAGGATTGTATTAGTTAATGCATTCAGAGTGCTTGAAGATCAGACAGAACTGTAAGATTACTAGGCAAATGTAGTGTTACCAGGAGCTAAAAGTCAGTCAAAATTCATAGAATCATAGAATAGTTAGGGTTGGAAAAGATCTTAAGATTATCTAGTTCCAACCCCCCTGCCATGGGCAGGGACACCTCACACTAAGCCATGTCACCCATGGCTGTGTCCAGCCTGGCCTTGAACACTGCCAAGGATGAAGCAGTCACAAATTCTTTGGGCAACCGATTCCAGTGCATCACCACCCTTACAGTAAAACAGGTCTTATATCCACTCTTATATACAATCTAAACTTCCTCTGTTTAAGTTTTCAGCTGTTACCCCTTGTCCTGTCACTACAGTCCCTAATGAAGAGTCCCTCCCCAACATCCCCATAGACTCCCTTCAGATACTGGAAGGCTGCTATGAGGTCACGCAGTCTTCTCTTCTCCAGGCTGAACAGCCCCAACTTTCTCAGCCTGTTTTCATATGGGAGGTGCTCCAGTCCCCTGATCATCCTTGTGGCCCTCCTCTGGACTTGTTCCAATGGTTCTGTGTCCTTCCTGTGCTGAGGACAGCAGAGCTGCACACAATACTCCCAAGTGAGGTCTCACAAGAGCAGAGTAGAGGGGCAGGGTCACCTCCTTTGACCTGCTGGCCACGCTCCTTTTGATGCAGCCCAGGATACAGTTGGCTTTCTGGGCTGTGAGCACACACTGCCAGCTCACATTCAGTTTCTCACTGACCAACACCCCCAAGTCCTTCTCCACAGGGCTGCTCTGAACCTGTTCTCTGCCCAACCTGTAGCTGTTCTGGGATTGCTCTGACCCAGGTGTAGGACCTTGCACTTGGCATGGTTAAACTTCATGAGGTTGGCATCAGCCCACTTCACAAGCGTGTCGAGGTCCCTCTAGATGGCATTCCTTCCCTCCAGCATATCGACCAAGCCACGCAGCTTGGTGTCATCAGCAAACTTGCTGAGGGCGCACTCAATCCCACTGTCCATGTCAGCGACAAAGATGCTGAACAAGACCGGTCCCAACACCAATCCCTGAGGGACACCACTCGTTACTGGTCTCCAGCCAGACATTGAGCCACTGATCACAACTGCTTGCGTGCGGCCATCCAGCCGGTTCTTTATCCACTGAGTGGACCACCTATCAAACTGATGTCTCTTCAATTTAGAGACAAGCATGTCATGTGGGACAGTCTCGGATGCTTTGCACAAGTCCAGGGAGACAACATCAACTAGTGTTCCATAGCCCCAACATGTGTTCCATAGCCCCATCATAGAAGGCCACCAAATTGGTCAGGCAGGATTTCCCCTTAGTGAAGCCATGCTGGCTGTCACCAAGCACCTTGTTGTTTTTCATGTGCCTTAGCATGCCTTCCAGGAAAATCTGCTCCAAGATTTTGCCAGGCACAGAGGTGAGACTGACTGGTCTGTAATTCCCCGGGTCATCCATTTTCCCCTTCTTGAAAACTGGGGTTATATTTCCCTTCTTCCAGTTGTCGGGAGCTTCACCTGCCTGCCATGATTTTTCAAATATGGTGGATAGTGGCTTAGCATCTTCATTTGACAGCTCCTTCAGGACCCATGGATGGATTTCATCAGGTCCCACAGACTTGTGCACATTCAGGTTGTTAAGAGGGTCTTGAAGCAGATCTTCTACAGTGGGCCTAAGTTCTTCATTCTCACAGTCCCTGTGTCTTCCTTCCAAGACTTGGATGGTGTGGTCAGAGCATTTGCCAGTGAAGACTTGAGACAAAGAAGTCATTAAGAACCTCAGCCTTCTCCAACTCCAGGATAGCCCGTTCTACTGATAGCTTCCAGAGAGGACCAACATTGTCCCTAGTCTGTCTTTTATTCGCTATGTACCTATAGAATCCCTTCCTGTTATCTTTGACATCCCTAGCCAAGTTTAATTCTAACTGGGCCTTAGCTTTCCTAACCTGGTCCCTAGCTTCCCGGACAACATCCCTGTATTCTTCCCAGGCTGCCTGTCCCTGCTTCCATCTTTTATAAGCCTCTTTTTTCTTTCAAAGTTTCCTCAGCAGCTCCTTACCCATCCATGGAGGTCTCCTTGTCCTCCTGCTGCATTTTTTTCTAGTCAGGATGCAACACTCCTGAGCTTGTAGCTGGTGATCCTGGAATATCAACCAACTGTTGTGGGCTGCCCTGCGCCCTCTAGGGCTATATCCCATGGAACCTTACTAAGCTTTTTCCTGAAGGGGGCAAAGTCTGCTCTTTTGCAGTCCAGGGCAGTGAGCTTGCTGCACACTCTTCTCACTGTCCTGAGGATCTTGAACTCGACCATCTCACGATCGCTGCAACCAAGGCTGCCCTGGAGTGTCACATTTCCAACCACCCCTTCCCTGTTGGTGAGCAGAATGTCAAGCATGGCACCTCTCCTTGTCGGCTCCTCTGTTACTTGCAGAAGGAAGTTGTCATCTGCACAATCAAAGAACCTCCTGGATTGCTTATGCCAGGCAGTACTGTCCCTCCAACAGATGTCAGGGTGGTTGAAGTCCCCCACGAGAACCAAGTTCCTGCGAGTGTGAGGCTGCTCCTATCTGTCTGTAGAGCGCTTCATCCACAGAGTCCTCTTGATCAGGTGGTCTGTAACAGATCCCCACAGTAATGTCTCCCATCACTGTTCTCCCTTTAACCCTGACCCACAGACTCTCTGTTGACTTCTCACCTGTCCCCAGACAGAGTTCCATACTCTCCAGCCTATCCTTAACGTAAATAGCAACTGGTCCTCCCCATCTGCCGGGCCTGTCTTTTCTGAAGAGCCTGCAACCTTTCATTCCAACACTCCAGTCATAGGAGCCATCCCACCGTGTTTCTGTGATACCTTTTATATCCCCATAGACGTGCACACATTTCTCATTCTTCTTGGTTGTTCCCCATATTACAGGCATTTGAATAAGGGCAAATATATATAGGGGCAAAATCATATAAAACTCCATTTAAACATACGAATTAGGTGTTTGGCAAACAGAGGAAGTTTAGATTAGATGGAAAGAAGTTCTTTACTGTGAGGGTGTGGTGAGGCACTGGAACCGGTTGCCCAAGAAGCTGTGAATGCTCCATCCCTGGCAGTGTTTAAGGCTGGGCTGGACAGAGCCTTTTGTGACATAGTTTGGTGCGAGGTGTCCCTACCCATGGCAGGGGTTTGGAACTAGATGATCTTAAGGTCCTTTCCAGCCTTCAACTATTCTATGATTCTGTGATGATTCTATGAAATTGGGATGCAGAACTGTCCAATCCAGGGTAGTCTGTAGGTAGTTATGTCCAGTAGCTGCTGCATGTATGTATACCACTGTCTAGCCTGTCAGAACTACTGACAGAAGAATCCTGCAGAAGATTTACACTTAAAGAAAGGACAGGATGTATATTAATGCTTTAAGCTGTTTTGTCTACTGAGTATACATTAGGATAGAAAAAGACTTTATTTTGTAGAATACTGTATTTAATTTAAGAGGGAAGTTGGGATTTTGGTTTGGTCAGCAGTCTGCGTAGCTTTGCAAAAATCAAGATCTGTGGTTCACAACTTTCCTTAGGAAGGACTGCAGTATGTCTCCACATGTGAGGCAGCAATTTGTCGGCTCTGTGTGGGCTGAGTAACTTCACATCCAGTATACACACTCATTTGCTCGTGTATGTAACAATTCTGCAACAGCCATCCCACAATGCCTCATGCCAGCCTCTTGGCCGGGGGTTTCAGCTATGCTGGCTGAGGCTGAGCATAAGCTTCCATTAGAACACTTCACTGAAAAGTGCATTTCTGCCAGTTCAGGTTTTAAAGAGGAACAAACGCTACAGTCCCATTATATTGGTAGATCAAGTAGCTGTGAGGAAAGAGTGACCAGGCCACATACTGGGAAGCTCTGTGAAAGAAATGCTTACAGTCCGTTATTCAAGGACTTCCAGGTGGAATGGGCAGGATGAGAGGCAGTGCCACTACGGATACTGGAGTGACTCCATGGAACAAGAAGTATTTCAGTAAATGCTGGACTTAGTGAAGCCTGGTTTCTTGTATGCACTGGTTGAGTAGCTGTTTAACTGAATCATGCTGAGCATTCAGCTCAGCCATTATCAGACACCAGAAAATGAGAGAAAAATACTGGAAATGTATTTGCTGTGGGAAAAGATTCAGTTGAACCTTGTATTGTCTGAGATGCTGGAAAACCTAACAGGAGAATCCTTGGCTCACAAATACTTGGATAAAGAGAGTGTGATCTTTTGTAAGCTTTTTCTCCTCAAGAAGTCAGGCAAAAAAATCTGGAGCAACTGTTGAGACTGGCTCCTTCTGTAGGGAGCCTCATGTCATTCTTTCAAGGAGGGCAAACACTGCGCCATTGCAACTACGCAAGATAGGTGTTTCTAAGCTCCATAGAGAACAGGTGAAAGAAAAGGAAAAGAACCTCCTAACAAGGAAGGGGAAGGTCTAGGTAGATGTAATTCACATGTTAAGTTATTTAAGCTCTACCAAAAGAGGCAGAGTTGATTTTGCAAACAAAGTGAAGATAAGTCTGGTAGATGGCATTTTCCTTCCTCATGCAGCATATTCCTTTTGTACTTTACCTTCTACCAAACCAGGTTTGAAAATAACTCTCTGCATTGCTCATGCATATACAACAAATAATATAGGGGTGGAAGTGCTGTTTATTTTGCAGACACTCTGGGATTCTCTTTTTTTTTTTTTTTTAAGCTTTCGATTAATTCAGGTTCACAGAAGAATTGTCACATCATGGAGCAAAAGAAGCAGGCAAACATTACCCTACCAAGACTGCAGTTACCTGCCTGATTAATCATGAAGTTACCATCCTGTCTATAAACTCAACTTAATGACCTTACTCAGCAAAGAATTTGAACAAGACACAGAGGTCTGCAGTGAACGCTGCATGCTTATGGAGCAAGAACCAGGCATAAGTCTAAGACAAACTATGGTGACTGCAGCACTGCCATGCATTATGCCATTTTAAATAACACAATAGTTTGACTGCTTCTGGAGATGCTGTGCTCTGAGCTAGCAGTGAATCTCTGTAGGCACAGACATAACAGAAGAGCAACTCTATTCTCTTGTGCCTTTTTAGTCCTGTGTTTCAAACTAGTGAATGAGACCATTTAAGGAAGTCTAAGCAAAGTTTCAGACCAAGACAGGTCATTTTCAAGACCTTACAGGCAACTGGTAGCAGGAGAGTATGCAATCCTCACATCTCCAAATCAGCTTTCTAAATGGAACTTCTGAAACTCTAAATGTTAGATACCAAAGCCTCTAAAATAATTTTTGTGTTCCTGTGGGGTAAAACATACTGTGTAAATAAAAATGTCATTTAAAAGAAATTGGTTTCTTTGTAGATCCTTATTACACTCACACACCTCACAGTTTAATTTCAAAGAAACCCCTCTAAGCTAATTTTTGAGAATGTATGTTTATCTTTACTTTTTGGCTTTAAAAAACATTCTCTTAATCCAAAGTAGTAAAAATGAGTTACTGAAACTGCAGCTTCTCATCAGGTGTTTACTAATGCAAACATAAATAATCCATTCTCACAACACCTTACAATTCTGTTCTTGTAGAAAAACTGTAAATTATTTCTCACTGTTTTGTGCATTGACTAGTACTTGACAGCACTAAAAACGTATTTCAGTGAATGCCCAGTTTAAAGAACTTGGAGAACTCATCTCATGTGAAAGAAATACACTGTTTCCTTATCTTGAGAGTTCATTTAATCTTTTCAAAAAGGAAAACAAAAATAATGAATTATTATTTTATTTTCTGTTCTACCATGTGGGAAACTTGCCTGAAATTGGGTAACTCTGTTGTGTTTAGTGGCACATAAGCACCATCTTCTGGAAAAAAACTAGTATTTCTCAGTGATTATAGGCATAGAGGACATCCGATTTGCTTACTACTGAAAGTCTGCATTTGAATTTATTACTCTGTGATATTGTCAGGTTTTATACTTCAGCAAGATGAATAGCTTAAATACCTCAATATTATTAATCATAGTTTAGTAACTATTGGCTAATTACCTTAACTCACAAAGTAATAATAGCACTATTTTAATGCCAGTAAGCCTCATTAATAGACCAGGAGTCCTCTGCATGAATTTTTGTTAAAAATCTAACAATATAAAACAAGTGACAGTAGTCACTATCACACAAGAGGACATTGAGATACTGTTGGTCTGTATGATGAGCAAAGTACAAACTGAATTACCATGTTTTTTTAGATAGCCTAGTGAAGACTGGTTTAGAGTGTGATTTATAAGCATCAGGGATATTTCAGGAGAAGGTAGTTGATGGAATACTGAAGCAGTATCTCAGTAAAAACAGGAAAGCTTAGATAGAGCTGTGGGCCCAAAAGAGTCTTGGAGAAGGATAAAGAGTACAATGGCTTGTATTTTCTAGAGAAGAAGAAAAAATGTCAATGAAAAACTGCCCAGAAGATTGTTTCTGGTTCAAAATAACAAGCTGAAAAAAGTTTTCTTCTTCATACATATGAGCAGGACAACATATCATCTGTCAAAGGTAAAAAAAACCTAATAAAAAAGTGATAATAAAGCTTGAAGAATTTTGCTACGCAAGTGAATAGGGATCTTTGCATCTCAGAAAAAAAGTCTCAATTAAGCATAGTGTGAGACTGTGGAACCTTCTTGAACAAAGTGTGATAGTCTGGAGTGATGCCAAGGATACACACTAATTCAGGTGTGCTGAACTTGCCACCAGCCAGGGCCTAGGAAGACAGGAATGAATGGGCTTTTCAACCTCTTTTATGGTTCCATCCTAGGGAAGGAGCAAAACAACTGTACATTGTGTTGCTCCAGTCAGTACTTCTGTATGCAGATGGCAATTGCTTATGGGAGAAGTCTGTACTGAGCCTGATTTTCTAGATGATAAGGGAAGCAATTTCATGAACAGAAGAAGCTGCTCTTTCTGCACCACCAAATAATGCAACAGGGCGAAAAGGAAATGAGCTATATTATGCATGAAGACTGTTAGGTAAAGGCAGGCCCATGCGTTCCTGTAATTCATTTTCTAAGAAGCATCTGTCTCAGGGCAAGAAAAAATAATAAACTGATAATTATTAATATCATAAAAATGCTATGCTTTGTATGTCATGTCTTTGAACACTGGCAAGTCAAAACAGACTTCAGAAACTTCAACAAACGGCTATACAACAGGGAGTAGTTTTTAAAGGCACCAGCCATGAGAGAACTGGGCGACTTGTCAGACTTCAGATTATAATGATAGACAGCATTTTATTAGAAAGTGTTCAGTTTATTTTTTCAGATATTCTTACAGAAAGCAGATGTTGTTTTTTCAGTTAATGCTTTGCAGGTGGTAATAATTCTACAGGCTTTGAAAAAAAACATACCAGAGAAAGTAGACCCTCCTTTTCCAAGTGTTCCAATAGGGAAACATGACAGAAAGCCTCTGCATCAGTTCAGAGTGCAAATGAATCAGTCATTGGAATTTTCTGTAGATTTTCACATTATGCTTTATTAATATACAAGCCTGTTTTGAGGAATTTATGACATGAACTAAATGACTGAATCATTGAATAAAGGTTGGAAAGTACCTCTGGAGGTTGCCTCGTCCTACCTCCCTGCTCAGAGGGTAGCTAGAGTAGGCTGCCCAGGACAGGATCCATTTGGGATTTGAATATTGCCAAGGATAGAGACTCTACAACTTCTCTGGGTTGTTCTGGTGTCCAGTCACCCTTACAATAGAAGGTTTATTTTCTGTTTAAAGAGCATTTCTTGTATTTTAGTTTCTTCCTATTGGGTCTCATCCTGTCAGTGGGCACATATCTGACTCCATCTACTTTAGTCTGTCATTGCCACCCCCTGATAATTAGACCCATTGATAACAGCCCCCTGAGCTTTCTCTTCTCCAGCTGGGCTGAACAGTCCCAGCTGTCTCAGGCCATCCTTGCATTCAGACACTCCAGTCCCTTAGTTGTCTTTGTGGCTCCTCAGTGGACTCACTCCAGTAGTGGTACCCTTTACCTGCTGCTTTATTTCTTCATTAGGACAATTTATTCCTTACCACATGGCTAACCAAGTACTGCCATTTCTGTTAGAGAATGGAAATATGCTCCTCTATCTCCTATTAACAGAACTAAAACCAGGCAGAAGGTTAAATTTTTCAAGTTTGATAGTTACCTATTTCACTTCAAAATTTGATTGAGAGCTCATTTGGTCTATTTATGTCCTGATTGTGTGTGTTGGGTGTAATTGTTGCATAATTCTAATTTCCTTCAGGCTAAATTACAGACATCTTGTGTCTTACTTTGCTCTTCTTCACATACAGGTGTATGTCATCTGGGATGACAAGTTATGTCACAGATGCATGAGACCACAAAAGGAACACCACCACTCTTTGTGTACCATTTTAATTTCTTCCCCAGAAGCATGATTTTTCATTCAGTGATGGCAGCTTCATGGGATTTTGTATACTTTTTTCTTTTGAACCCCGCTTTGATTATAGTAAGTTTTCTATATTTTAGGCTTCATTTAAACTGTAAGGTGAAAAACCAGATTTCATTAGTGTTGTCCTTGATTTAACAATACTAAGGACAGATAAGGTCTGACTCTTCATCATTAATGAATAGCTTATTTATCGGTTTAATATTGTCTTCATTGGCCATCAGTGGCTTCAGTACATCTGCATAAATGGCATTGAAAGTCACAGAAACATAGAATGGTATGGTTTGGAAGGGGCCTTAGAATCATCTCATTCCAACACCCCTGCCATGGGCAGGGACACCTTCCACTAGACCGTGTTGCTCAAAGCCCTGTCCAGCCTGACCTTGAAAACTGACAGGGATGGAGCAGCCACAACATCTCTATTGAGCAGCCTGTGCCAGTGGCTCACCACCCTCACAGGGAAAAACTTCTTCTTAATATTTGATCTAAATCTGGAATCAAAATCAGTGTAATACCATTTTATTATTTTTCATAGGTGCAAGATCTTGGTTTTCAAAGAGCTTTTGTACGCATACTAGCAGTAACATGAAACAATTTACAGAAGTATTTGAACTTTTGAATTTTACGCCACATGCTTATGTGGGCTATGACCCCACCAGACTAATTTCTTGGATTTTCAATCCCTTAGACAGACTTCACTAAATCAAAGCACCTAAACATTATGTGAAATGAACTATTACAAAGAGAAAACCAAAATTTAAAAAAATACAAATGTATTACATTTAATAGTCTCAGCCTACTTTACAATTTACACTCTGCTCTGTAATGACACTTTAATTCATGTTTCCTCTCAGAATAGTTCTATATACACTCCTGTAAATCTGGCTAGACATAGAAGCCACCAAAGATAATTATTAACCATTACTAACTATAAAGTGATACAGACAGCTCAGATGGGAGTTTTAAAATGAATCACTCATTCATTTGACTGTGCTGTTACTGATACTATCAGTAAAATCCTTTTGTTGCAAGATGAATAGGGCTAGATTAATATTAAAAGTTTTCTAAATCTCTCTCCTTTTTCATGTTTTACACTATTAGCATATCTTAGGGAATTCTCAGTATGTGACAAATAGAATAGTTCAAATTGGAAGGGATTTACAGTGATCATCTAGTCTGGTGGCCTGACCACTTAAGGGCTGACCAAAAGTTAAAGCCTGTTGTTAAGGGCATTGTCCAAATGTCTCTTAAATGCTGACAGGCTTGGGGCTTCGACCACCTCACTATGAAGCCAGACCCAGTATTTGACCTCCCTCTTGGTAAAAAAATGCTTCCTAGTGTCCAGTTTAAACCTCTCCTGGTGCAGCTTTGATCTATTCTCTTATGTCCTGTTGCTGGGTACCAGGGAGCAGAGCTCAGCACCTCCCTCTCCACTTCCCCTCCTCAGGAAGCTGTAGGAGATCAAGGAGGTCACCCATCAGCCTCCTTCTCTCCAAACTAGACAAGCCCAGAGCCCTCAGCCACCCCTCACAGGACATTTCCTTCCAGTTCTGTCACCAGCTGAGTTGCCTCCTCTGGACACATTCAAGGACCTTCACATCTTTCTTAAATGGTGGGTCCCAGCACTGCCCACAGCGCTCCAGGTGAGGCTGCATCAATGCTGAATACAGTGGGAGAATCACCCCTGCTGACCGGCTGGTGATGCTGTGTCAGATGTACCGGAGGGCAGGATTTGCCCTCTTGGGGCACGCTGCTGGTTCACACAGAGCCTGCTGCTGACCAACACCTCCAGATTCCTTCCTGCAGGGTTGCTCTCCAGCCACTCCTCTTCCAGTCTATACTTGTGGCTGGCATTAGTCAGTCGTATGTGCAGAATCTTTTAGACTTGCTAAATTTCACCGCATTAATGGTTGCCCAATGCTCAATCTCTGTAGATCACTCTGCAAGGCCTCCTGTCCCTTGAGAGAGTAAACATTTAGAATCTGCAGCAAACGTGCTAATGGTGCATTTGACTCCTGCATCCACATCAGTGATAAATATATTGAACAGAACTGGCCCTTAGAACTGAAGCCTGAGGATCACCACTGGTGACCCATCGCCAGTCAGATGTAGCCCCATTCACTACAATTGTTTGAGCTCTGCTGTTCAGTCACTTATGTCACAAATGTCTTGGTTTCACAAATGTCTTGGTTTCACAGTTTTTACATGTTGATAACAGGTTATTGTTAAACGTGGTGTTGTATGCTTAGTGTCAGGAACATTTATTTATAAAGCTAGGACATCCCAAAGGTTTGTCTCATCTCAGAGTCTGCCTCCAACTGTCACTCCCAAGCAGTTGCTTAGGAAAGACTCAATGGGAGAAAGCATAACTTTTGCTTAGGCATCATCTGTCTAAATGTTTTTCAAAAGATGCAGAGCTTCACCACTCATTGGATTCATTGCATTTTGTCAATTTTCTTTTGAATCCCTTAAAATATGGACCGCCACAATACTTTACAGCAAGAAATACCTCAGTGAAGTACCTCTGAAATACCTCAGTGAAGCTGAAAAAAATACCTTCTCTTGCTATTACCAAATCTGCTGACGGATGAAATCATTGGTGCCCTCTAGTGTTTAAAGAGAGTTTATTAAGCCAGGTCATAGACTACCCTGTCAGTGTGAGTCACATTGGATCTTGCCAAAGCAAGTGAGAAAATCAGAGGCATCGAGATTGGAGACAGCCTGGGCTGAGTGATCATGTTCTAGTGGAGTGTGCAGTCCTGAGGGACATGGGACAGGCAAAGAGTAAAATCTGGACCCTGAATTTTTGGAAAGTAATCTTCCAGCTGTTGAAGGAGTTAGTCAACAGAACCCCCTGGGAAACGGCCCTCAGAACAGGCAAAGCTGACAGATCTTCAAGGATTCATATAGTTGGAGCTGCACTGGACAAGGGATGCAAAAAATAGTAAGAAGGACTTCTGCAGGCATGTGAACCAGAAAAGGAAGATCAAAGAAAGTGAACCCCCCTTGATGAGCACAACTGGCAAACTGGTAATAACGGACAAAGAGAAGGCTGAGAAAACCAACAGTGGTTTTGCCTGAGTCTTCACTGGCAGCCTC